TGCTCTCAAAAAGAAATCGGAAGAACAGAATTCGGTTTGCTCAAAACCATTTAAATTGGACATCTCAAAATTGGAACACAGTGCTCTGGAGTGATGAGAGCAAATTTAAAATATTTGGTTCTGATGGTAGATCATTTGTGAGAAGGCCAGTAGGTAAAAGATATGATGCAAAGTACCAGAAGCCAACAGTAAGGCATGGTTATGGTAGTGTTATGATCTGGGGGTGCTTTTCTCGAGCTGGGGTTGGTCCTCTAATAAAAATAGAGGGAAAATGGATCGCTTTATGTACAGGGACATTCTGCAAAATAACATGTTACCATTTGCCGAAGAAGAGATGCCCCTAATATGGAGATTCCGGCAGGACAATGATCCCAAACACGCCTCACGATTGGTAAAAAATTGGTTTGTGGAGGCAAACGTGGATGTTCTGGAATGGCCTTCTCAGTCGCCAGACTTAAACCCAATTGAACACCTTTGGGAGCATTTAGAAAGAAAAATTCGATTAAGGGCTATTCAGAATGCGACAGATTTGTGGGAAATACTCCAAGATGAATGGCAGAACATTCTTTTGCAAAATTTGTCAAAACCTTGTGGATTCCATGCCAAGAAGATATAAAGCAGTCCTTCAGGCCAAAGGTTACGCAACTAAATATTAGATTTTAGGATTTGTTTCTTTATAAAATTTTCTTTCCATACTTCTGTCCACAGTAATTTTTATGTTTTTTAGTAAAAGAAAAATAAGAAATTATTTTTGAAAATTAAAACTAAATATCCATAAATTACAAAACGTTGTTTCATTTAATATATTTAAAATAAGTTTAAAAAGAAAGTTACACAAAATATTTTAGAAAAAAAAAATCTTTCCATACTTATGTCCATCACTGTATGTATATTTCTAACAAATCTGCTATGGGTTATAGTTGTCTCCAAATCGTCAAAGTTTTGAATATGAGCTTCTTAGGGTTCACTTAATTTTTTTTTTGAATATGTGAGACGCGCTCGAATATTTTTTCTTTTCTCATTTTCTACCCCTTCGTATAGCGGAAAGGTGGGGTCCATGCGCTATTTCTTTGTGATTTTTGAAAACCTATACACGTTCCCCTCACCAGTATAAGAGCATACATCATATAACTTTTTTCTTTCTTTTTTGCATCTAATTGTCACAATAAATAGGCCCCCACGGCACTCAAGCAAATCCTCATTTAACATCTTGGGCTCCCGTACTATAATGTAAGACGACTAAAGATTACAAAACGGTTAACATACATTTGACATTTTGCGTAACAAGTTCAACATTCAACTACAAAACTTATTATATCTCTGTTTAAAACACAATAGAAAATATCTCATCTTAGGCTTCGTTCTTTGATCGAAACACTTTCTACAATTAAAAGCGGGATCGTAGATTAAAAAAAAATTTAAAAAAATGTGTGACTAAATAGACTTGAAAACTATCGGGTTCGACGTTATAAATAAAAGGGAAAAAGAATGCATGTTCCATTATACGCCGCTTGTAAGATGGTAACTTTCTCTTTTGGAACTTTAGTAGGCAAGAGGAGCTTATAAGCAGGTCACGACATTGAAAACCCACAGATTAAGAGTACCAGTAACACCAATGGAAGGAATTTTGCTAAAATATGATTCTTATTATTATCACCACTATTTTAAAATCAGAAATATTTTTATTTTGTTTATTCTTATAATAAATCATAACGATTTACATTGATGGTGGTCTTTGTTTTGTTATGATTAAGGATCCATGACAGTAACAGTTGTGGCCTTTAAAGTAATCTCCTTTTTACACTTACAATGACAGGACATAGATTTACCTGTGAATTAAAATGAAAGACTCTTTAGACAAACTTTACACTATAAATTTATAATTTATTTTTCGGAATTTCTAAAAACTTGTATGGAAACTCTCTACTTTTGAAATCAAATTATCACAATCAAGCACTATAATCCTTCAATTTCGTTCATTATAGTTCTGATCTAGTAAGTACTTCTCTAATTAATTTAAGATTTTTTCTATTGATTTTATAATCTCGTTGACCTGACCTACTATAATGCTGTTCTGTATCACTTTCTTTCAGCCAACAAGTTTATTTACCGTCATTAAAATTTCGATTGCTTCTTATAGATAAAATAAGAATGTCCCCTATAAAATCTATCTCTGAATGGCTCTGAAATAGATCAGCTCGAAATACGAGTTATCATGAAAATTTTACTGATTTATGCGAAATTTATGAAGAAATGAGTATAATTCTTATTTTTAAGAAACAAGGTGAAGGTAAATGGCGAATAAAAATAAACTTTCTTTTTTTTACACATTTTAAGGTCACTCGCAAACAGTCATTGACTTTAAAGGATCCATTATTTATGCACCAAAACGGTTTCTTTATTTTGTCAGAGGAATCTTTTAAGTATTTTGAAATAAAATCAAACAATGGCACCTATATATTCGCATATTTTTATTCTTTTATTATCCTTTTGTTACGTTATTTGCCAAAATTATTTCCCGGGTTATTATTTCGATAGAGACCTCAGCTCAAATACTTAAATACCTATTTAAAAATATGGTAAATATTTAATTCCGAGTGACGAGAAATATTTAATTTTTTTCAGATTTCTGTTTTCGAGTTTAGCGGTGGAAGCTAGCTTTTCCAGTAATAATCATAAGATAGGACTATGAAGAACGGCCAGGATAACACTCGGTAGACAGTAGAAAGTTAAAAAATCAACAAAATACAATCTGCTAGGAAGTCGAAGTCAAGGCCGATGGCCATTGCACATGGTATAGGATGCGGATACAAAGGTGACCCACATTTCCTCCAGTTTGTATTAGTTGTTCTTTTGCCGTGACAGGCAGAATACGCTATAGGAGAAGCAACCACATGATACTTTCATATTCTCTATGTATCTCTTTAAGCCTGCCTACTATTCTCTTTAACTAACCTGCCAGTTTTGAACTCAAATTTGCGAAGAATATCTATTTTCCCCAATCTGCATACATAATTTTTAAATCATTTTTTGTAACAAAAATAATAATAAATCACTTCAACTGCACGAAAAACGGACACCTTAAAATTTTCATGTGTTTTCAATATATTTAGTTCTAGTTGGCCGATTGTGTTGCGCATCTTTTTTAGTTAAGAATTAAAATCCTTCATACGAGGGATTTTTGAGGAGGGTTTTGAAACACCCTGTGTAATGGTTTAGCAATGTAAGCTGTTTAAAAACCACTTGATCATTAAGATGCATCGTCTTTCGATAGTTGGTGTATTGTAGTGATGCTTTTATTTTGCAAAGGCTGAAAAATATATAATTTTTATTTATTTATTAATATCTCTAAAACTATAGAAATAGATTTAATTCCATCTTAGGATTATATAAAGTGATCTGAAAGGAGCCAAAAATGCAATAATATACAGGGTGTTCCATTTAAAAATAATAATCCCTATCCACTCACACTTTTTTGAGCCATCCTGAAGAAGTTAAAATATTTTCCTGAAATACATCCTAGTACATACTTTAGCTTTGCACTGGCACTGGCACATAGCCGACGCACTATTGCCGGACCCGTATATTGTAAAACTAAAATAGTAATAATAAGAGTTAGTTCAAAAATACTTTACTGCTATATTATAGTAATATGGTTCTTTTTCTTTTCAGGTAAGCTAAAAATTTCTACCTCAACAGTGCCAAGGTAAGTGTTCTTATGCTATCAAAATAACTTACAATTATTGTAAACTTATGAGGTATATTTATTATTATTAACGGAAGAACCTCTAGATTTAAATCTATTACTAAAATTAATTGAACAAGCGTCCAAGATTAACTTATATCCGTGGACTATTTTTAAGACTATTGAATTGTATTTAGTTCGTTGAATTGTAGTTCTTTTGGCAATTAGGACTAGGTCTTTGATGGTTAAGATATTCTCCATCTATTAAACAGTTTGTAAACTGCTGTAAACAGTGTATGTAATATACAATTAATGGAACCTTACTTGACGCTCTAAGAAGTGTATCTTCTTCAAGTTTAAATCTCTAAACCGGTATAGACAGTACTCATATTAAGAGTATATGCTTGTCAAACATGTCGTTTTAATTAGTATGGACTAATTTGTTATTGAGGTGTACCACATAAATTTTCAAACAGTGTAACAAATAATTAAAGCGACTTTCTTAGTATGAGATACTTTCTATTTTGAGCAAAAATATAAAAATGTAAATGGCCTAGTCATTTGGAATAACTGGGGTGTTTCAAGTAACGAGTAACGATGGTACCAAGTCGCCCACATCGAAAAAGTGAAAACGGAACATAAATTATTATGAATATACTTGTTGCTTACGACAATGAACCGTATGAATCATTGGTACGTGAATAAAAGGATATCAGAAGAATGTCTGTTTTCTTCACCTAAATATTTTCTGTAATTAAATCATCGAAAAAAAAATACAGAAGAAAACTTTCTAGGGTGAGCGATAAATGTTTTCCTATTTGTAAAGAATGAAAATTAGCATACAAAAGTCGCAGAAAATGTATTCATTTTCGTTCGCATTGTTTATTGTAATACTTTTTAGGCGGTTGTTCATATTAATTAAAACTGTCTCTAAATTAAGAAACAAATCACTTAAAGAAATTTAATATCCCAATTATTTATACACGTATCCTTTTGACATAAATAAAACTTCTAGTATTACAACTAAAAAACATCAAAAATTAATTTAGTTTAAAAGTCCACTCAAACAAAATTTTTGATACGAACATATAGCTATTTATATAATCCACTACAAATCTTTACATTTTCTATTTTAATTAATTACAGTGTGATAGTCAGGATAAGTTTGTTTGGTTTGGTTCCAAAATGGTGAATGCTTTTATTTCAATGTTATTGAGATATTTATTGATTAACTAGTTGCCTATGCATTTAAACATTTACTTTTTGTAATACTTTTATGAATATTTTTTAGAAAACTTTATAGAAAAATTCCATATTGATAAACAAAATATTTTTATTAATATAAACAATTAATTAATATATATGTCTCGTGGCTGAAAATACAAAACTTTAATATTTGAATATGAAATTTCCATTAATTTGTAGGAAAAAAAATCATACTACACTTGTCTGGCATATAGGATACAGCTATGAATAAAAACCAAATACTTAAATGGCATTGAGATATAAGTAAGATTTGTCATTAGCACAAAAGTTTATATCATTCAAGTGTAATAGCACCAAGAAGTGGTAGAATCTCTCTCTTCTTTCTTCTCTCGCATTTCGGACAAGGTTTTGAAGAATTAAGACAGTTCTTATGATAAACTGCGTTACATATATCACACTGAAAAAATATCAGTATTATAACTTATGGTACATATTACATTTGCTTATGCTTACTTTATAAACATTTTCAACATCAAAAGGAAATAAAGCTTTGGATTTATTGCACACCTCACAAACAAATCCTTTCTGTCTACACAACCAACAATTAAAAACATGATTTTTTCCAAAATGAACCACCCTTTCTAGTTCTTGAGCCAAAACGTTATTCTGAATTTCGTGCAAGTCCTATGAAAAGAAAAAAATACCTTTTATGTTAAAAAAAAGCAACTAAAATATAACTTACTGATATAGAGTACTGATGTATATGTTCATACATATACTCCCTAGGCCACATTTGCTTTTGAAGTTGTTCAATAACTGGTTCTCGACATGTATACAAATAAGCTCTCAAATAATTTAATTGGTTTCTTAACACTTGTAGTTCTGCCATTTCTTCAACAGCTCCGTAGATGTAGGGATTTAATACCTTAAATTATAGTTAGATAAAAACCATAAAAACATCTGCAAGAACTAAAATTTACCTTAAAATCAATTACAGGATGCTCTTTAATTTCATTTATGTAATTAAAGCTCTTCTTAGACACAGAATACTTCTGGAAATCCCAATTATGAATGATACGCGCTGGAATTGATATTTTCTCATCATGTATGCAAGATATGCAGAAATAATCTCCTGTATAATTGCATACACTGAAAATAGAATTTTCAAAAAATATTATAGAGTTAATTTCAAATAATTTTAACTTTACTTTGGTTTATGTTCTATATTTAGAGGTTGTTTACAATCTGCACATTGAAAGTTTTGGATATCAAGTCCTTTCTCATTGGCTATTTTTCCTACTTGCACTGCCAAAGACATTGATTCGGTTTTAACAGGGCTCAGGTTTGACACTGACGGCACAACTTCTTCTTTATTCTAAAGATAGATCAAATATTTGTTTAAGATAAGTACACCAGGTCTCACCCCAGCATGACCTTTCTAAATATTTAACCAAATAAATGTTGTTTACATAAAAGTGTATTTTTCTTTAGCAGTTCAACTTACATGATACTTACATTAGTGATGGCTGATGTAGAATCTTCTGTCCTCCTGTCTTCAAATTTTTGCCATACTTCTCTTATATCTGGTGTTTTGATGTAAGCTCCACTCAATATGTTATAACTTTCTATAAGGTCTGTAAAGCTAGTTTCCATTGATTTCACATCTTTAGTTGGAACTTCTACATTTTCCTCACTTTTTTCGTCTTGCTTCTCTTCTTGCCCATCAAATGACCATCCAGCCCTGTTTATAGAATTTCCAACGTTATGATTTATGTTGTCTTCAACAGTGATTTGATTATGTTCTAAATCTGAGCTACCATATGAAGATGAACATGGTAACTCAGCCTCTTTATTATCTTTATTTTTTCCTAAAATAATTTTCAAAACTTCATCCTCAGATAAAGATACCACATGCTTCAAACCAGAAACTTGTGATCCAAAGGACATGGCTGAACTTAGTGAAGCTGTTTCTGAACTTTCTTCATGGTTATTTAACCAAGGTTCCTTAGAGTTATCATCTATGGTCATGGCTACATCATCACAGGGGGCCACAGGGCAATTTTTAAGAGTGGGAGCCCATATTCCAGATAATATAAGGCTCTGTAAAGGCCATGTATTAAGAAGACTAGAATTGCTATGTAATGTAAAGGTTTTAAAGGCCTCAACTCCTTCTATAAGCCTTTGGGCAACTTCTAAAAGTTCACTGTCCCGTAAAAAGGCATTTGTGGTATAAAATGACTTCAATGCAGAAAAATCTTGGCGAATTGTCATCAAATATGAAGAAAGTAAGCAGTCATTTAGTACTAAACGTACCCACGCCCTACAGTGACCTACTTCAGTTGATACTTGTGACAAGTTTAAAATCTTAAAAATATATAACATAAAAATAATAGAAAAATATACATTACTTATTATATACCTGATCTATAATCTGTCTGTGTGAAATAACCAGTAATGGAGGCCAAAAATTTGGCTCAGGTTTTTCATCAACATCAGCTAAAACTCTTTTAAATCTATGAGTTAAGGAGTCTTTTAAGCCATGCAGAAACATAGCTTCAATTGTGGTACAGAGTTGAGTGGAAGCATCAGAAAGATCACTAATTTTATTTCCTTTACCCTCTTCAACTCCAGCATATTGTATTTCTTTTACTGTATTTGATAAATTAGTTGTTATAGATTGTTTAATGAGCTCATCTTTTTTATTAGATGCCGACCGTACACTCTTTAATAATTTGTTCATATTGTGGTTTCAGACCAAATTTCTTTAAAATATTAGTGCTGGCTTCATAGGCAACACCTTTTCTTACAATTTGATATAATCCTGGGTGAGATAGGTCAATTATTGTGGAGCCACTTTGATCATTACTTGTGATACCTCCATCAAATATTCCAGCAATCTTATCCCAAATATTTTTAAATTGAAGTGGACTGACAGTACTGGGTTGGTTACTAAGATTTGCACTGGTAAGTGCTAAAGGCTTTTGAACTTTAGATACTAAATCTGTTATAAAACTATGATTTGGTATTCGTATTCCTATCTTGTTTTTTCTGCAGACAGATTGGTCTAGTTTTTCAAGACTAGTTAAAATAACTGTTACTGGACCAGGAAATAATTCATCCAGCAAACCCTCTGGAAGGTGTTTTATGTTTGCCTAAAAAAATCACTTTGTAATATCAAAAATATTTAAGCTAAATTTAATTATTTATATAAATAATTAAATTATCATTTATATAAGTAAAATAGGTTAATTACCCATAAACTAATGTCGCTGATTTTTGCTAAACAAATAGCTACTGGCTTATATTCACTTCTTTGTTTCACACCATAAAGTTTAACTATTGCTTCCAAATTTGTGGCATCACACGCTAGTCCATACAATGTGTCTGTTGGCACAGCAATAACTAATCCAGAATTGATCAATTTTGCAGCAAAATCTATTGCATCTGGTCTAGTAACAGATACATGTTTAGCCATATAACAAACTGCTGGTTTAGTAGAATATTTCACGAACTTCACTACACTATTAAGTACAGACATTTATCACCTGTTGAATACACATATCCTTGATGTAACTTTTTTTATCAAAAAAAAATATCACGACACAGGGTCAATAAAAAAATATGCGTTATAATTTGCTTTGTTTTATCTTCTCACGTTCCTAAAAATAAATAAAATCCAAATTAAAGGTATATCTAACATGATCACTGAAATTTGAAAGTGATAGAAAAATCTGTAAAAGGAGAATGGTAAGTGTTCCTGATTAAATATACAGAATCACATGTACTCTATCTAATTGAATATTGCAAACGATGTAAATATTAAAACTTTCTTAGATTTTTAATATAGTTATTAATAGAATAGTTATTGTTAATAACGACTAAAATAAGGCAAATATTAAGAGTGTTGGAAGAAGTAATACCTGTTGTAAAGATAAAGCCTTGGACAATAATTGATACGATTCTATAGATCCTTTCTTATTAATATTAATCTGCGTATTTAAACAAATTTTTGCAGAGAAATGCAAAAAAATTCCTATTTTGACACTTCAACCTTCAACCACAGAATATACTAAACGAAAAAGAAGCCCAAGTTCCTTGTAATAAATCGGTTCCTAAAGTCCCTAGATATATAAAGTACCGCAATTGGTTTGTTCAATGTTATTGGCGCCAAAATGGCGGATTTTTGGGGTATTTCTGGAAAAACTGTAGTGGTAGGACTGTTTAAATGTCACATTTGTCTGAATTTGTTCATGTCAAATGTTGAGAAGCTGTCAATTTCAGGATAAAAATATTTATCCACATATTTTAAAATAATTATAAAGCTACTAAAATGCTACAAATTTATTAGTTAATAATGTATAGGCGTCGATATCTTTAGTAAATGTGTATTACATGAAAAGGCCGCCATTTGATGTGTTTTCTAACATCGTCGATATTCAATACACGTTAGGTAGTGGATTGAATTTATTTATACAGTGAATATTTTTAACAATCTTATTTGTAGTATAACTTATTGGTACATAAAACTTCATTATAGAGCAAGACAAGACCACAATAGATCTGGGAAGGTCGCAGTGGGTCTGGCCGAGATCAACCTCTAGAAATCTAATCTAGAACAAGACAAAGACCTTACTTGCAAACTACCATACATATCTTTTAAAAAGGATGCTAAGTGTAAGTGAAATATCTACGTAATCATTCCCTAAAATGTTTAGTGTAGTTTAGTTTTCAACATTTTGCAGCAAGAAGTTTAGATAAATCTACAATATATTATCATCAGACCAAACGAAGGATAATTATTTAAAAGAATAAGTTATGTTATGATACATATATAGATTTGGATGACATCGCTTCAGGTGGTTTTACCAGTCAGGACTAACAGGGATATTAATCAAAACAATGAAAAAAAGCTCAAATAAATTTGATCCTAATAACAAGAATGTTGTTTATGCATATGCTAACTATATAGTTATTTTCATGGACTTAAATAGATTAGTTTTTATGTATTTATTGATAGTAATTAATATTTTTTGGTTCATATTGTAATTACTAATAAAAAGTAAACAATATAATGTAAGCATGTAAAGTTATATTTAAAAATTTGGTCTTATACTGTCAGTTATAAATAAAAGTGTGTGATTTAAATTTGATTTTTATACATGACATAAAATTGTTAAGATTCATTTGAAGTTTTACATATTGTCGAGGTAAAATTATGCCTACTTAATTTATGTATAACAATAATTACAGTTATTTCAATGTTAAATTTATAGCAGTATAACTTTTTTATTATAATGATACTTAAACATTATGACACTTGTTGTTTTAAAAATATAACATTAAATTGCAGAGTAAAATATATTTTAATTGTATTATGTGGTATTAACTTGCTTTTATTCGACTAATAATAAATTTGTTGTATAAAAATCACTCCATAAGATACAAACCTTAATTATACAGCATACATAAAGAGCTCCTATGCGTTTCAAGCTTCTTTCTAAGTTATTTTTTAAATTAAGTGCACAATTACATACCTAAAATGCCAAACTACCTGAAGTAATACTAATTGAAACAATCTTTCTATCAATATATTAATATATTTCAAAAATAGCAGGTATGTATCATATCAATTTAATTATTACATTTATTTGTTTCAACCATGGTTCAAAATTTTCTCGTATAAAAGCCGGCCTTCAAATTTAAGTTTGTAGCTTATTCATAGTTCCAAAGACTTTCGTTAAATCATGCTTATTTGTCAAAACTAACTACAGCATAACTGGTATAATAGGGAAAGTTTACTTATGGTATAGGTATCCCGTTCTCATCAACAAAGTTTTTCCAATTGTTTCGACTGAATTAAGTACTAAAATGCTAAATGTTATTCCAACTTTATTTCTTCTTACCTATTAACTTACTTCTGTTGGCGTACTTTGCGCTAAAAGGTAACATAAAATAAATGCTAATGAAAAACACTTGTACGGAAACCATTCGTTTATAACCTCTTAACATATATAGGCCTAAAAAATTAAATTTATGAAATTGAATATTAATATACCACCTGATATTACGTTAAAATGAAGATAAACTGTAGAGAATAAACGTAATTCTATTACAATTAATAACTATTTTATTTTACGGCTTGCCTGTCAATGTTGGTCGGCCATATTGGCGCCGGACCGACCAGCTGCTTAAAAAGCCGAAACAGCGAAATGTTGGCCTCCTTTTTAAATTTGCCGCTAGTTTTGGCGCCAATATGGCGGTAATTGCGGTACTTTATATATCTAGGGACTTTATCGGTTCCATTTTCGTAACGCCATCTCTCGACATAGTTGACATTATAGGTTAGCCAAAGGGGTGCGGGGCCGGGGGAATTGTAAAATACATTTTCTTATTTTAATTATTTTTATTCGCTATTTGTAATTTTATTTTTAAAACATATTATGTGAAACAATCACATAATATGTCTTAAAAATAAAATTACAAATGGAAACAAAAGGAATTAAATAATCTGAAAATCTACAAAGTTTATTGATAAAAAAGTTAGGCTATGCAAATTGATAAGTATATTAAGTATAACCTCTTTGGTATAACATTGTTAAACAAACATTAACAAATCATAACATATCAGATCATAGAACTAAAAAAAGTCCTATTACATAAAAACAGGTGATACAATACTTCAAAATTAATTTTAACATAATATCAAAACCGAAAAATCAAACTGCAAACACAACCACACTTATCACAACAGAAATTAATACACACTTCCACGGCAAATGTCCAAGAAAGACTGATCCACAAAACACATACACAAGAAGAAGTGCGAGCGCCTTGCTAAATATTGGAAAGTGAAATTGACGTTTAAATTTGATACTGTTGACAAGTCTACTGCTACTAGCGCCCCCAATTTCGCTTGTAGGAACTACGGACTAAATTGTCACGCATGGCGGGAAGTTTAAAAAAAATAAAAATTTTTTTCTTCATTTATTTTTAATTATGACATACACAAAAACACAAAAAATACACCATTTTTTAAAAATATGTTTAATATCAATATCAAATATACAACAGAAATTAATTTCACCACAATAAATTAATAAAATTAAAAGAATAATGTTACAAGTAGATCAAGAGACAAAATTAATTATAACAAAACTGAAAAAAATGGCGTCATAGATGGCTTAGAAATAAAAGATATATCATAATTTTGAAAGTAAAATTATATGGGAAATGTCTTCGATCATCATTTTTAAGCCAACTGGACGATTATTTCAAACATACAAGCTGAGTTCGTTCATAGTGCTCTGAGAAATCTAGATAAACAAAGAATAATAAATTAAAAGTATTCCAGGGGAAAAGAGAGGAAAAACCTGTATCGTCTCTGATATCTGTCAGGGTATTGTTGAAAGTGTCATCTTTTTGCTCGAAGTTTTCAGGTCGATCAAAAAGATGACATTTACAACAATACTTTGCTGTAACTTTCACAAATATCAGAGAGAGTACATACAGGTATTGCCTCTCTTTTCCTCTGGGATGCTTTATATCTGTTGTTCTTTGTTTATCTATATTTCTCAGAGCATAATGCCGAACACGACTACAGTATATAATAATTTCAATATCCGAAGTGGAAAGAAAAAAGATCACCTTTCTGTTTTGTACTATGGTCCCTTTCTTCCGATGGCTCATCTCGTTGATATTTAGGAAGGATAAATAGGAAGGAAAATATAAAATTCAATTTGATTTGATGATCCTTTTCTGTCACCTAAAATCAGGAGAACGACAATGAGCATGTTAAGATGAAAAAAAAATTATCAACACTTACCTACACGTTAGTCCGAGGAGTTTTATTAAAAACCTATATATTTGCCTAAATAATTTATGTATTAAATTTGCAAAGCAAAATGCAGCGTGTAAACAAAAGAAATAAAATGGCGACAAGTCAACGTCAACGACCCGACAAGGAGAAAAGTGGTGTTCGAATAACAAATTATGGGTCACCAAAAATTGTTTTTGTCTCCTTTCAACGCACACTTTAGAAAGAAAAAGAGATGAACTGGAATACTGAAAGAACGTCAAGGCTTTATCTGTCACTCTTGTCAATAATTTATCGGTAAGGAAGATTCCTAGAAAATCGCTTGTAGTCAAGTTTTCAACCATTGCCAGTTCTCCCATAAGAAGTGTCATCCACCTGGACTGATCATTCTGATTGGTCCTGGTCCGGTCGTAGCTCACGTCGTATTGTCGGTAAGCAAAATCCCTGTCCAAAAATTTTGACGATCAGCGCCATCATCCGTCATAATTGGGAAACTTTGGCTGGAACCATTTTTAATATTTCACTTACATGGCCCTGCCTTCAACATCACAGTTCAACATGTAATATATGTCAGTTTTGACAATTAGAACATGATATCTGACAATTAGAATATATGATCCACGGTAATAATGTTAATCTGTGGTTATAACATTGAAGGTTAAAAAAGTTAGGTTATGTTATGTTTTATGGCTGCCAAATGTGTTCGTACGAAAGGAATTAACAAATTATAGCTCTATGAGCTCTAGAAAATATTCCTTGTTCTTAATATTGATATATAAACTATTAAATAATCGTATTAAAAATATATATTGTAATGAACTTATGTAAAAAATTATGTAACAAATGTGTTTTTAAAGTCAGTAAGGGCCTTTTAAATGAACCGGGCAATTTAAGAATATGTTTGCGATTCCATTCAACAAAACGGCTAGAAGAGGCATATAAATTAACAAAAACAAAATGCCAATGTAAGTATATATATATACCTTTAATTTACATAGGCTATTTTTTAAAAACTAATTTAAACTCTTAGCAAAGAAGTTGCCTCAAGATGTTAATCCAAGAGCTGTGTTTGCTTGTAATGAGTTAGACTTAAAGGAAGTTAAAGTATATGGGTTTGATTATGACTACACTTTGGCATGTTATAAACCATCTTTAGAGCATCTTTTATATAATTTAGGAAGACAAACTCTTATAGAACAATACAAGGTATACAGATGTATAGAGTATCCCAATAAAAAAACACAAGTTTGTGTCATATTTCAAATATGACAGCTCTCAAAGAAGAACTACTTATGTCACTGCATTAATTAGTCTAGTTTATTTAGATTGAAATTAATACTGTTTGATCGAAAAAAAACGGCGTCAGCGATGGCTATGAAATGAAGATCGCTGTCATTTAATAAGTAAATTTATATGGGAAATGTCATTGATTGTCATTTCTTTCCCAGCCAACTGGACGCCGTTTTATTTCAATCATACGGGATATGTAACTGACCTTAAATGCTTATAATTTCAAATTAAATTGTACCTATTATTTTTTATTGTAGTTAGGTACTAATTAGTTTTATTTAAAAATAAATTTATTCTGCAGTATCCATCAGCTATATCAAAACTAGAGTACAAGCCTAATTTTGCAGTAAGAGGATTGCATTATGATATAGAAAAAGGAGTATTGCTCAAATTAGATTCATTTTTGCAAATTCAATTTGGTACAGTATATAGAGGCCTAACAGCCCTTACAAATGATGAAGTTATTAAGTTGTACAAAAATAGGATCATTCCCATTGCATATGTTGAAGGACACACCAAGAATGCTCAAGTAAGAATTTTATATTATATTGCATATGCTTGTTTGCAAATTTAATTATTTTTCTAACACTTGTCATATGGTTTTGTGTCTCACTAACAAATTTCTTGCCTCTTGCACACTTTTATTTAAGTAAATGCTACCTTTATAGTTGATATTACAGGAGTCACATTCAAAGATGGTCCAACTTGCTGACCTTTTTTCAGTTCCTGAAATGGGTTTGCTCTGTAACGTAGCCGAATATTTTGAGAAGAACCATATTGATTACCACCCAGAAATTTTATTTAGGGATATACAGGTTTGTCTGCCCAGAAGCTCAATGACAAGAGTTTAGATCAAAATTTACTTTTATTTTCAGAGCTCAATCAAAAATTCTCACCCAGTAATGCATCAGATTGTTGGGCAAAATGTAAATGAATATATTGAAGCCAATGAGAAAATAAGACCATTTTTTGATAGACTGGTTAATGCTGGAAAGAAATTGTTTTTGGTAACCAACAGTCCCTACCATTTTGTGTAAAAAATGTCAGTTTATTTAGTAGCAACTTAATTAATTTATTAATTTTAGTAATAAAGGCATGGAATTACTAGTAGGTCCTGACTGGAAAGATTATTTTGATGTTTTGATAGTGCAAGCAAGGAAGCCAAAATTTTTTACAGAGGTTTCAAGACCTATAAGAGTCTTTGATGAAAGAAGCGGAACACACATATGGGATAGAGTTACTAAACTTGAAAAGGGAGTTATATATTATGAGGTGACCATATTTAAAAATTAGAACGTTCACTTTTCAAAACAAAATTATCACATTGAAGGGTACAGTAAAGCAAATGCAGGATTTAACTGGATGGCGAGGTCACCAAGTTTTATATTTTGGAGATCATCCTTACAGTGATTTAGCTGATGTTACCTTGGAGCATGGATGGAGAACTGGTGCCATTATAACTGAGCTAACAGTATTATTGTTAAGGCAGTTCTCTTCTTAATTTTTTATACAATTTTTTTCTAGCATGAAATAGCAACGCTGAACAACCCAGAGTTTAAGAAAAATGCTAATTGGCTTCAGATGTTAACACAATTGATTGAAGACCACCAAGATTGTGAAGACGCTGAAGAGCAAAAAGTTCTAGCCAAATGGATGGCTGAAAGAGACAAACTTAGGTATAAATTAACATATTTGCTGTTACAAAATATAACTTCTTTATGTGCTTTTTAGAAGCGACATTAAATATGTATTTAACAAACAATTTGGGAGTGTATTTAGAACATACCATAATCCAACATATTTTTCAAGAAGATTGTTCAGATTTGCAGATATATACACATCAAATTTAACGAATTTACTGAATTATTCAGTAAATCACACTTTTTATCCCAGAAGAGGAGTCATGCCACACGAATATATATCTTATTTTGTGTAATATTCTTATTTTATTCTTTTTTTTTCTAGCTTTTACAAGAAACTATTTATTTTTCTAACCATTGTTAATGAATTTGATGCATGATCAGCCAATAATTTAAAGTGAAGTGACAATAACAGCAACATGTCTAAAACATTACTTGTGTACTTGCCATAATAATTCTGATAATACATTCAATGATGGTGTTCAATAAGTGCCTATGGGTTGTTAAAGTATTCTGATTCAAGCTACTAACCATAGAAAAGACTTTTGGATTATTTGTTCAGCAAAATTGGAATTCTATTGTCTATATTTTTTTGGTTTTTAAAAATAAAAATTATTCCATTAAAATGAGTTTATTGTACCTTCTAAATTATTATTTTTTGAATTTATGGTCTTCTATCATGTACTTAATTTACTTTATTTTTTAATCCTAAATATCAATATTTAAAAGAATAAAATTGAATTGTGCATATATTGGTACGTTTCAGTTTGTCAGCATTATAAAAGCAACAATTTGATTAGTAATTTCACTATAAATGTTATAGTGTTATATGAGTCGTACTTTGTAATAGACATTGGCAGCTCAAAGAAATTTATTAAGTTTTTTTTTCTGGTTGGGGAGGACATAAACGGAAAAAACAAATAAACACATGACGCATATCTATTATTTATAATAAAAAAAGTTACAATAATAATAGTGGTATAAATGTACAATGCAAAACTTGAGGTCAGATCATATCTCGAACACATTCCGTATCGAGATCTTGTATAAGACAGCGCATGAAAGCCATCTCCTTCCTGGCGTTGTCGAACATTGTACGGGGATCACTAGCCATGCACCGTAAACAGTTGGGCGCAAATACCATTGCTAAATTCGAGGCGTCCATTTTGGTATGCTGTATTACATCCGGTTTATTAAAGGTTTGTAAAAACCTTATTAGATAGCATAACACTAGCCTATGCAAAGTGGGCAAACGAAGAACTAAATCACAGGCACGGCGCGACGTCATCGGCTCAGCTACGCATTCTGGATAGAGGGAATCTGGAATTAAGGGTTCGTACAGCTCTCTCAGCCACAGTTTCAGTAAATTAGCTGGAACATGCGCGTCGCTGGGCTCGCTCAACTCCCAACGGTCCATCTGCGCCTTGAGCCTGTTCACTTCGTCAACATCGGCCGACACTCGAAATATTCCTTCAGTCTGCAAGCCTTGTAGCTTCAGCACTTGCATGGAAAGCTCCACTTGCGGCCAGGGAAGCCTCCTGTTTGGCCATCTACTTGACTGCAGCTGCATTACTTCGCGTAGGGTATTCCCAAACAAGCTGGCTTGGAATATCTGTTTCCTGGCTGACTCTATGTCGTCCACTTGCGGTCGTCTGGCGGTACGCTTACCTCCTGCACCTATTCGTTCTAATCTTTGACAAGCTACAGTGGCGTAGTGATTGACCTAAGAAGTACAAAGACATTTAACTAGCTGGTGATAACAAAAATGTTGCTGCCTTACTTGAACATGTATAGGCCATCTATTGACGTCTGGAAAAACACGAGAAAACGTCGGATCTCTGTGTCTATTCAGGTACCCTAGTAAAGCAGGTTGAAACACAGGACTAGGAGGGATAAAAGCCAAAGCAATTGTTAACAACTCCCAGCCTCTCAAAAGAGACTCTCTCCTAGGGTTCTCAGTGGTTTGTTTACACAATTGAACAAACAATTCGTCTCTTAACAGAGATTGGACGTGAGCTGTGCCTAGGATTTCCATTAGAAGTGAGTTTAAAGAAACACCTGGACGTGCTTTTCTATCTCCCATATACATCTGGACTTGCCTATAAAGATATAAAAGTAATCACTACGTGACTAAAATATTAAAGAAAGAGGGATACCTAAACATTTCTAAAGCTTGCTTATATACAGGTTTACTAGAAGCAAGCAAGGGTCTTTGCAGGCTTCGTTGTGTCCAACTAAGAAGATCCCTAACACTGGCTTTTCTTCGGAAAAGTCCTCTTCCTCCTAGATTCAAATTATCTGCGGCAAATTTTTCCATATCAGCCTCTCTCTCAGGCTGTAATGGTGGCTCGGCAAGAGGTTTTAATAGTGGTGTAGGTGGGCACTCTCTTTCCCTAGGTTCTGGAAATATATATATTTTTAAATTTAAATATTCAGGCTAAATGAGATAATTATACACCAACCTGTGCTAACACCAGTTGGCAAGTTTAGGTACTCCACAGGCCTGTGTGACAATCTATGAGGTAAATAACTACCCTCTGATTGATCTGAATCCTCATTGTCAGGTTCATGCCCTTAAAATTTGATTGGATAAAAAATTAGATCACTATCAGCTAAATAATTATGTACAGATGTTTCATAAATATTTTATTTATTCTTTCCAATTTGAGTAACAATATTTTTTACAGATAAATTTATTTTATGAAAATCTAAAATTATGGATTCATTTTCATGTAATTTAAATTAACAGCATACCACAAAAATGTTAGTACTGGAACATTAAAATAGACAATTTACAATACCTTCTGAATTGACAAACCAGCAGTCATATTAAAGGCCTTTGGGAAAATGTGCAGTATGCATGCATGCAGTAAAAAATCTAGGGTAAAACGAGCACTTCCTCTAATCCAACTAAATAGGTCAAACATATTAATAAACATACCAGTAAGAGATTCACTTCCACTATCTGAATGATCACTATCAGATTCTCTGCTATTATTAAGTAAGAAATGTTCTAAAGGTAACAAATGGGAATCATGCCAATTAGAGTATAAAGGTGCCTCAGCTCCCCTTTGGCTAAAACTACTACTTCTGCATAAGTCACTGGGCTTTCTGCGCAATTGTGGGGTACTGGCTGATAAACTTAGAGCTTGCCCCCTTTCAACATGGTGACTTGTTTGTGTGGACTGGTTACTGGTAGCGGCTGGACTACAATCTGTATTGTGTTTTAGAGTTTGCAATTTGGCCAATGGTATTATATCGCAATTGGTGGGCTTATGCCAAACCGTTCTTTGTGATGTAGCATTGTAATAGTAAAATCTAGCAGTATTTTGATCAAATAGCTCCCACCATTGGTTTGAATCTGTCCGTTTAACAGGTACACCTTCTGGAGGATCCCATACACATTCTCCTGTAGCTAAATTGGCATACATATGCTCCTGAGTTTTGGGCTCTATTATTTCCACCCATTCCACCCTTAAAATGAAAACTCGGTAAATGGGGTGTGACATTACAAAATATTGATTGAATACCTGTATGAATTTGAAGCCATTTTTTACATCGTCCTTAATATATTAACACTAACTTTTTTGATATGTTACAACGACATTTTTATACCATTTATTGTCAATGTAATCCCCAATCATGTCCGGTACGACTGGGGAAACTTAGAAAACCATAACAAAAAATAAATATTTTTGCCAATAGACTAACTGGAAAGCGCCATTGTTTATTAAATTGCCAACATTAGAGAGTGACAGTGACAGTGACACAAATGTCAACGTGAATCAAAATTGTATCCTCTAGTGGAGAGCAGCTGAGTTTTTTTAAACATAAAGTGTGTTTCATTAATATACAATAGATGTCACTACCCGCCCAATTTTTAACACTGACAAAAGTGACAGGCCGTGCACGTTTAGAAATAACCGAGCGTATTTTAAAAAATTCATGTTATTTCTGTGATGTTATTTGTTGTTGTTCCTGGGTTCTAACCTATTATATTATTCCACGTGTAGCGGCCACTTCTTAAAATAAAATATTAACTTTGGTAAGGTAAGTAGCTTTTTTTAATTTGAGCCCTCATTTTGTATTAATAAAATATAATAATTAATTCTGTTCTTTTTTGTTATGATCATTATTTTCGATAGTAAAGAGCTAGTGTCAGGGCACTGTTTAAATATCATTCTAACTGCTAATAGATAATTCATAGATAACTATTTTATTGCCACAAGACATGAAATCAATTATTCCTAATTATCTTAGCACGTAAGGCTTCCCTGATCAAGAGACTTCATGCAACCAAATACGCTCAATAATATATTAGTTTCAAACCCTCATACCACTTTTTAGCTATAAAGCTGATTGGAACAACCGAAAATTTTTAGGTTTTGAGTACACATTATGGCTGATATATCAAATCATTTGCCAATTACAAATTCAGTGCCACATTATTCTGATTCTGACGACGAGGACGTTTTACAAGATGGATTATCTGCTAAAGACATGATTGAGAAAGGAACGGGATTAACTTATAAGTAATAAAACCATACTTTAATATAATGTAGTTCTATATTATTATTTCTATTATGTAGTGACTTCATCATATTACCGGGATACATTGATTTTGCACCAGATCAAGTTGTAAGTTTTGCTTAACATTTCAAATACAGAATAAAAAAACTAGAATTTCAGGATTTGAGCAGTCAACTTACTAAAAAAATTATTTTAAAAGCTCCTTTAGTATCCTCACCCATGGATACAGTCACTGAAGCAGATATGGCAATTGCTATGGCTGTAAGTTTAAAATGGTACTTTTATGTGTATTTTTATAAAAATAAAATATATTTTATAGCTATGTGGTGGTATCGGTATTATACATCACAATTGTTTGCCTAGTTATCAAGCAAATGAGGTACACAAAGTTAAAAAGTATAAACACGGTTTTATACATGACCCTGTTGTTTTAAGTCCCAACCATACAGTAGCCGATGTTCTTGCTGTTAAAAAGGAACATGGCTTTTGTGGTATTCCCATCACTGAAGACGGAAAGTTGGGTGGCAAGTTAGTTGGTATGGTTACAAGCCGAGATATTGATTTCTTAGAAGATATGCATTTTGCTAACACTAAACTAGAAAGCATAATGACTAAGCTGCAAGACCTGGTAACAGCACAGTCAGGTGTTACCTTGACAGAAGCCAATCACATTCTGGAAAAAAGTAAAAAAGGGAAATTGCCCATCATAAATGGTCAAGGAAACTTAATTGCTTTGATGGCTAGGACAGATTTAAAAAAAGCCAGGAGTTATCCACTCTCTTCAAAAGACGACAATAAACAATTGATTGTTGGAGCTGCTATAGGAACTAGAGAAGAGGACAAAGCAAGACTGGTACTCTTGGCGCAGGCTGGTGTGGATGTTGTCATTTTAGATTCATCTCAAGGCAACTCAATCTATCAAATTGAGATGATCAAGTTTATCAAGAAGAACTACCCAAACCTACAAGTAGTAGCTGGAAATGGTTTGTTTAACGCCGTATATTTACATATAACACATTTGATAAATATATTTCCCTTTTATAGTTGTAACAAAACGTCAGGCTAAAAGTCTGATTGAAGCTGGGGCTGATGCTTTGCGAGTGGGCATGGGCAGTGGAAGTATCTGTATAACACAGGAAGTGATGGCTGTGGGGCGTCCCCAAGCCACTGCAGTCTACAAGGTATCAGAGTTTGCTAGAAAATATGGAATTCCAGTTATAGCAGATGGAGGAATACAGTCTATCGGACATATAATTAAAGCTCTCTCACTTGGCGCATCTACAGGTTTTCTAATAAAATTATTTGGTCTCTTCAAATTAAAAATTCTATTTTTATTTATTTCCATTTAGTTATGATGGGTTCCTTGCTGGCGGGAACCTCAGAAGCTCCTGGGGAATACTTTTTCTCTGATGGGGTGCGGCTCAAAAAATACCGCGGAATGGGTAGCATTGAGGCCATGGACAGGAAGGACGCCATGGGTTCAGCCATGAACAGATATTTTCACAGCGATGTAGACAAAATGAAAGTAGCTCAAGGCGTTAGTGGCAGTATTGTTGACAAAGGTTCTGTATTAAGGTTTGTACCATATCTTCAATGTGGTGTAAGACATGGATGTCAGGATATTGGAACGCGCTCGTTGGTAGATCTCAGAAGTAGAATGTATAAGGGTCAATTGCGTTTCGAACTGAGATCTCATTCAGCCCAACAAGAGGGAAACGTTCACAGTTTGTTTTCTTATGAAAAACGACTGTTCTAAATAGATAAAAAAATTAAGTGTTAGTAAATATCTATGCCTTTGCGGCAAATACGTTTCTGGAAATATCTGTCTCTCTATAGACATTCAACCCAGTTGTCTATTGCCTGCAGATTATATCGATTTTTAGTGGCGATAATTCCAGATACAACCGGAGTATTAAGTGTTATTATGGTACTTATGAGCAAGTAAAGGAAGAACATATTTATTACATTTTTTAATAAAAGTATGATTGTTGTGTATATATTTTATCACAATATTTAAAAGTCAGTTTTTCATATTATGTGATCTTAGTTTAGATTTTTATTTATTTAATTTTTTTGAATTTTATTCAAAAAATGAGCTCTCGAGTATTTTTCATTTTCAAAAATAACGCTTAATGTGTGATATATTTTGCCTGGGTGTTTCCCGTAGTTGTTGGTGATGGATTTAATGTGTACTTACTTTTTAGATATTAAGTATTTTATTTGTAAATGATTAGGAAAATTTACAAGAGGTGTACATTTCTCTTTATGTTTACAGACTTAACTGAATATCCATTCTACTGACCAACATTTTTATAAAATATACATTTTCGTGTTTTACTATTTGATTTGATTTACAGAACATAAATATATAAATAAATGTGTATATAGATGTTTTTTATATTCCTTATTCCTATAATAAAATAATTATTTTTTCTTTAAATTTCAAAACTTTTGTCAATTGAAAAAAATATATTGTGGATATTTTTTTTTATTTTGTGCATAAATATGGTTTGAAAGAGAAATACTGTTTTGCTATGCTGAAGATCTTTTTAATATACGAATAAATAGTTTTATAAAGACATTACATGTTATAAGTAGGCAGGGCTTTCGTCTCTTCCTAAGCGCGGCGAATATGGCATATTTAAACGTCTCCCTAATCTGGGGGGAAATGGTGCAAATCTCTCCACGACATCTGCATCGTCCGTTAAGTGATTATCGTCTAAATTTCTGCCTAAACGAGGGGTAAAATTGTGGGTATGACTTCTTTTTTCCATATCTAAAGCGCGAAAATGATTTTGACGATAAAACAAATTATACTGATTTATTTTTACCGTTATTTTCAGAAATCGCTACTAGAGTCCATGGATAATCCTCGAGCGATTCTAATAACTGGCCTATCTTTTTGTCTTCCTCTTTATCAGAACTTTTTTTCTGGTTAATTCTAGACCCAAACCAAACCGATGATATTTTGTCGGGATTTTGTTTGGGATTGTTTAAATCTATTACATTATCGAACTAAAACATGCACGTTTAAAATATATAAAAAATAGTATGCTAATAAGAAAGGTATATACTTACGCTGCTAACGGCTGAGGGAGTGAAATACAGCAGAAGTGTCACTGCAAAACTTAATTTCACCAAAGGGTTACTCATTGTTTTATCGAAGATCTTTGAATGTGAAAAACCAGAGACTGGTTGTGCTTTTATACTATTTGCAGAGTAGAACGAACTGTGGGGAGTCGTCGACAGCGATAACAACCCCTGCCGCTTGAAAAATCTAAGATTAACACCAGATTGATATTCACTAATTAAATGAAATTACGTCAGTAATAGGAATTAGGGCATGAGCGATTAGCAAAAGGTTTTCTGTTAGTATTTTAGCAGCTCTATTTAAGACACATTTAAATTGCTAATCATTCCGTTATTTTCGCTTCTCTCATGATAGGTAAAATCAGTCACAATGAGCAATATGAAAATGCTCTAGTCCAACTATATGTTACTGGACTTAAAACCATCTCTACTAGAATAGTATGACACTAGTTTCAAAGTCTATACAGGGTGAGTCTTAAATAAGTGCAAATGTTTTAGGGGTAGCATATTTCGACCCCAGAAACACGATTATGAGTTTTTTACGCGAAAAAGTAATTTTGAAAATTTGGAAGTTTTGGAAAAAAAATTGTAAATTGTTTTAGTTTTTAGTTAAAAAACATAATTTCTTGATAATATGACAACAAAGGTAGTAGATTAAATTTACAAGAAAGAAAACCCTGCAAAGATCCAACGGTTCTCAAAATTTAAGCAAAAAAAATATTTTTTTGGAAATTTTCAAAATAAAATAACTCGGTTATTTTGGACTTATTTGAAAAATGGTATAGAGAAAATATGTTTCTTTTATCGAGATCAATCAGCCCTGAACATATTTGCACTTATTTAGGACTGTAATATACCTGGTGCGTCTTAAAAGTACCTTAGTACCACCTCTCTACACTCCATAATAGAATGACATATCATCTGTCAACTTTTGACATCTTTACATATGGTTTATTTGAAATTGTAACATGCGGTTCATAACGACAATTTGACTCGAAAAAATACCAAACCATACCAAGTGTATGGTACCAAATTATTCGTAAAGAAATGCTGTTTCCAAATATGCTAATGAGCCACCCTTGTTCCATTTGAAAAAATTGGAATATGACTAAAAATACGATTTGAGTGTCTTTTAACCAAGACAAGACACGAGAAACATTAGACGATCAAATCTATTTTTCCAAGGCTCCTTGATTAAGAATTAGTGTTTCAAGCCAAATCTCGTTTTTTTATCTGAAAAAATAAAAAAAATTATAGGGGTGAGCCACTTTTGAGACGCAGTCGGTATAGACTTCTAGATTACTTCATAGGTGCTAAAATTTTTTTACTGTCTTATTCAAAAGCGAATATTTCCAGTAAAAAAGAACTATTGAGTATAAACCAAAAAACTATTTATCGAGGAATGCATCTTGAGGATATAAAGTGGTTTTTAAAATGCTTATTTTGGGACAGCATTCCACAGAGTGTTTCAAACTTTAACCAAAATAACATTTTGCTTTCCCTCGTGTAATAGACAGATGGGAACTTTGATTTTTATGCAAAATCGTTCCGAACTTTAAAATATATGAAAATTTTAAGTGCCGTCCAGACGCAACGACTTGTACGCTTTGCGCGTGTTGGAACAATATTGGATAAATATTGTATAAAAATATAGGTAAAAGGTGCAACTCATATATATTACCGATATTGGCTAGAAATGGCCAATATTGGGCCCATATACAATATTTTACCAATATAGAATCAATGTTGAGCCAATATAGTGTGCTACTGGGGTAATATACAAACAGAACCGTAGTGATGATGCTTTGGAACAGGATCTGTTATTCTCGAAACAGGTTTGTTTTGGAACAGGTTCATGTGCTATCCTGTACCAGTTCCAGTTCCAGCTGTTTCAAAAGACTGCGACACAAATTAGCATAGAAAAATAAATATAAAGACGAGTGTAACTGGAACTGTTTTATTCATTTGGAACAGTTTGGGGCTTGGAACATTTTGAAACTTGGAACAGTTTGGGACTTGGAACAGTTAGGGAGTTGGACCTGTTTGGAACAGTTAAGGCGCAATTCTCACTGTATCGTCCCGTCACCGTCACGTCGAGCCACCGTCTCGACAGATAACATGAAATAAATTTTGCTAGTCTAGCTTTACGGGACCGTTCAGCTGTTATCTGTTATCGGGATAGAGAAGAGAGTCCTAAAAAACAAGTGTGACGGTTTGCGCGGCGTTGTCGCTATTTAATATATTTAATTAAAATTCAACTAAATTTTTATTATATATTTTAAATAGGAGGAGTTTTTTTTCATGTAAACAGAATAGGAAAGAATTGTTTTTATAATAAAACAGTGCTGGTGATGTTGCCAAATGCAATAGTTATTTTCAAAAATACAGTGTAGAACAGATGGTTAAATACAATAACCAACTGTAATAAATATAACTATAATAAATATAGTAACACTTACAAGAATGTATTTTTTAAATATATAACAGAATTATAAATCTATATTTATTCATATACAGGGTGAGTTTTAAATAAGTGCACATATTTTTAGGGGTGGTATATTTCGATACTCATGAGTTTTTTTTGTGAAAAAATGTTTTGAAAGGTTTATATTTTTCGAAAATTTGTTGGGATTAATTTTTAATTTTTATTTAAAAAATCATTATATTTGGTAATATAGCAACATATGTTGATAGTAGAATAAATTTAGAGGAACGAAAACAAAGAAAAAATCCAGTAATTTTCATAAAAAAACATTATATTTGGTAATAGAAGGGTAATAGCTAGCCTTTAATAGGTATAGCCCATGTATAGCCACATAGATAGTAGATTAAATTCGGAGGAACGAAAACAAAGAAAAAAATCCAGTAGTTCTCATTATAAAAAAAAATTGTTAAAAAAAAACCTTTAAAAAGAAAAATAACTCCGCTATTTTGGATTTATTTGAAAAACCGTAAAGAGAAAATATTGTTTCTTTTATCCAGGTCTACCGGGCCTGAAAATATGTGCACTTATGTAAAACTCAGCGCGTGTAATAGAGGATGCCGTAACGGCAACGTCCAAACGCCGGCAACAATTCGAAGAGCACTTAACTGCTACTGAAACAGGGAGATCTGAAACAGAATGATACCAGTACGGTATTAATTTACGTTTTGGAACAGGTATCTTTTGCAACTAAAACAGGTTGTACCTGTTATTAAAAAATCGCTGTTCCGGCCAAAACTACAGAACCGTGAGGTAATTATTATAAAAATTTACTCTCTTATTGTGCTCAAGTAGTTGATAAAATAAGAGAACTTATCGATATTTTCAAATTTTATAAAAATGATCACCTGTACAAATATTAAAGTAAAGAGATATTTTTTCACTTATTATGACGTTACTATAAAACTGGTAAGATACGTTGGTAGTGAAAACTCATTTGGAATATTGCTTAAAGGGCTTCTGGTTATTGTCGGAGATATAAACTCGGGCGTGTGCTACGGAGGGGAAATTCATTACGTTACAGCTTCCGATTTTGAGTCTTTTATTTACATTATTATCAACTGATGTCTGCTTCCCTTTCCTTTCCTCGGTACATTGACTTTATACAATTTTTATAATTCCTTGTTTATTGCAGGTGACAAATATCCCTATTAATTGATTTTTGCAAATATTGCGATGCAGTTTCCAACAGATTTCTAAACTAATTATAAGTAATGAAATTCTAACATCGTCAATATTTTAGATGTGACAATTAGGGTTCTTTTGAGATATCAAAGAACCGGGACTCGAAATTATTAATTCCCGGTTCTTTCGGTACTTTCGGGACTCGGTAATAATAATTAAAAACATATTTTTTGTTACGTGCGAAAGACTTTTGATACTTTCTAGCCGTCGAAATCAAACTTCTAAATAAGTAGGGATGCTGTCTCTTACTGTTCTTACTTCTGAAGTTATTTTGAAGTTTCTATAATGTGTATTAGCTATTATTGAAGTTTAAATATGTTATTTTATTATTTAGTATAATATTGCTGAATGCATTAGTTATATTTTTTGTGTTATGTTTTTATAGGCATTTACATCTTTAATTGAAAACGTTAAGTTCTTTTTTTTAATTTAATTATGTTGGTTTCGATGTTGGTTTATGTTTGATGTAATTTTTAACCTATGTGTTTTCATTTTTTTCGCTTGTGTTCATGTTTACTTTCTCATGACTTAATAATTTGATATTACTTTCATTTGAAACTCAATTTTTTATCGGTTTTGCTTTTGAGGGACCGGGACCATCACAGGACCGGGCCTCCGTAACAATAATTATTAAAAATAATTTTTTTGTTACGTGAGAAAGTCCTTTGATACTTTTTAGCGGTCGAAATCAAACTCTTCTAAATAAGTAATGATGCTTATTGTTTTTTTTCTGTTTTGAAGTTCCTATAATATTTATTATGTTATGTTTTAATTTTAATAGATTATTTACATTTTTAATTTAATATTTTAGGGCTTTTGTCTCAAATTCAGTTAAGTTGGTTTATGTTGTTTGATGTGAAATACCTACATACTTTTTTTTTGCTTGTGTTCATGTTAATTTTTTCATGATTAAGTACTTAATTATTTGATATTATTTTCATTACAAATCTCAGTTTTTTATTCATTTTACTTTGAAAAACCATCTCTTGCTTTCTGATTGATAAACTGCACCACCATCGAACAAAAATTAGTCAGTACCGAAAGTACCAGAAAAAACGGGAAATAACTCTTCTAACCTTTCCTTAATCTGACACTCTGGGATTTTTCTAATGATATTTTTTTACTATTCTGATCGGCTGGTCTACACGCACGCCCCTGTATAAAAGGTTCGTGGTCGTCTATGGTGGGACCACTTAATAGGGTGCAAGGTTTCCTAATTCCAGAGCTTGGACTCCTCTACTACAAGAGTCCAAACAATTTAGCGGATTTTTTTATGGCGGGGGAATTATTAATTTAAGCTTGGCGATTGTTATATAAATCAAAAAGCTTTTAAGAATAAAGATAAGGTAATTACTATACCCCGTGTTTTTATTAAAGTTGAATTTATCTAACCGTTTTCAAGTGGCGTTTTAGAT